AAATAGGGTAGAGGAGCCAGGGTGTGGAAGGAGGCGAGGGCTACGGAGGAGAGAGAGTGGGGGGGAGAGAGGGGGGGTTGTAGGGGCGGGAACAATGGTTGGAAGTGAGCTACTTAGGCGAGAAGAGGAGAAGGAGAGATGAACTCGGAAGGTGAAGGCGCTATGGATATTGTGACAACGTGTGTGGGGGATGTACGGGGCATGGCAATAGTTGTGCACGCGCTGCGCCATCGTCGGGGAGCGGAGAAGGGATTGGATTACCGGTTCAGTCTCCGGGTTAAGGAATCAACGGTGCGTCATTATCCTGTGATGGCGGATGGCGAACTAGCTTCAGAGTTGTGCGTGGGATTGGGGTATGATGGGGAGGAATTCCTATGCGAGGTTACTGTATTTGTGAAGAAGATGCACAAGGATGTACCTGATTCTGTTTCAGGTACTGGTGTTGATGTGGGTGCGGAGATGGTGGAACTAGTGACTAACGATTTGTTGCAAGAGCACGACGGGCGTCAAGTGGGTTTCGTGGAGTGGGAGGCAATAATGGAGCCTCCATTGCAAAAGCGCAAGGGTATGCGCAGTGTACTACGCATCGGAGACGCTTATCAGTGGTGATTCTCTAGGGCGCGGCAGCGTTTTGCTGGGTAGTCATTTCAGGTGGTCCCAAAGCTTTAGGGGGATTGAAGGTATAGTTCCACGTAGTTGTGCAAAGGGGGGTTGTAAGATGGTATGGGCGTTTGATGGTGTCTAAGCAGGATGTTCGTATGTGAGAACATTTAGCTATTGGTGATAAAGCCCGGGCGAAAGACAGTAGTGGGCCATCTGTTTTTTTAGGGGGGTAGTGTAGTAGATGCAGTTATGCATCTTGGTTTTAACACCATACCTGTTTTCGTATGCGATGTGTATATTCTAAAGGTTTGTGCGGCTCTTGGCACTCCCGTGAAACGCGTGAAACGGGAGAGAGGCCCAATGGATAGATATCTGTTACGTTTTGGCCTTCTCTTTGTATGTGTGCTAGTTTTGTTCACGCGTGAGAGTTGTCAGTGACTACGATTTGTGGTTTTCAGACATTTGTAAAAAGTTTTTTTTCGGAGGAAAGATACAGTGTATTGGGGTTGATTCCAAAAGTTGGTTTTCGGATATTTGTAACAAGTTCTTTTGAAGGAGAAGATTCAGTGTATTGACCTTGATTCCAAATGTTGGACTAGATCTATCCCTGCATTTCTTTGTTTGAAAAAGGCATTACCACCGTGTATTGTGCGGGCCATATACAGATAGTGAAAAATGTACAAAACTGTGTATTAATCAAGGCGGTACTATTATGAGTTGGAGAGGTGCGAAAGTACTGGGTATGGTAGTGATGTTTCTCAAGAAAACATACGCATTAAGGAAATAAAAAAACTTATAAAGATTAGGGTGCCCCTCCTAAGCCGTCTACGAGTTGTTCGTGCAGAGGGTAGCGTTTTAATTACGGGCAGAGCAAAAAGTGTTCGATCAGTTCGATAGCTTTTTCAATGTTTATAAGGGGGGGAGGGCAGACCAACTTAGGGCAAAGAACCGTAGCAGGTAAGCATTCGCAATCCGGGTGCCTATCTTTGGATAACAGCCAATACTCATTTCAAAAAGAAAATCGTCATTCTTTGAATTTACAAGATCGCGGAGACGTATTTTAAGCGATGGTACTGGGTATTTTAAGCGATGGTACTGGGTATTTTAAGCGATGGTACTGGGACGTGATTATCACAAGGCATTATTGTTTATCGAGTTTAGTATTGTTTAAAGATGATGGTTCGTTTAACATTTAAACAAGCGTAAACCACCAGATCTACATCTCAATACACATCTCAAAAAATAATATACATGTCAATAAGCAAAACGTTATTCTTTGAGTTTTCAAATTCGTGGAGGAAACATTTAAGTGATGGAACTGAGACACGATTATCACAAGCATTATAGTACACAAAAAGCAGCCAAATCACATCTCAAAACACAAATCGTGATTCAATAACGCGGAGGAATATTTTAAGCAATGGAACTGGAAGCCGATTATCAAAGACATTATTGTTAGTGAGTTTAGTATTGTTTGAACATGTGAGTTCGTTTAGTGTTTAAACAAGCGTACCCCTTCAGAGCTACGGATCGGAAAGCAATGGTTCAGAAGATAGTACACATCTAAAAAAACAGATATAAATCTCAAAAAGCAACATCTCAACAATGAAGTCGTCATTCTTTTGAATTTTCAATATCTCGAAGGAATATTTTAAGTGGTTTGTCATTCTCCCACATCTTAAGAGGCAATTCGTCCTTCTTTGAATATGCATCAAAAAAGCAAATCGTCATTCTTTGTATTTCCAAGATCGCGGAGGAGTATTCTATGCGATGGAACTGGGACCCGCTTATCAAAAACATTAGTGTTAGCGACTTTTGTACTGCATTTTATAGATCGTGGAGGTCTATTTTAAGCGATGGAACTGTGACCCAATTATCAAACAACAAATCTTTAAAGCATTACTGTCAGTGAGTATATTATTGCAAGAACTTGAGGGTTCGTTAAGCGTTTAAACAAGCGTGAACCTCCAGAGTTTCGAACCAGCAGTTTCGTTCTCCTCTATAGGCTATCCATCATAAGAGTCTGTAGTTACGTACGTGACGCAAGAGGTCAGATATATTTCTGAGAAAAAATAGGTGTTAGCGTAATAGGTTTGGCATGATTGATTTCATTTGATGCAAAGTTTTGGGTTGTTCTTAGTTGTAGCATGCTAGCTGTTTATAAGCGAAATCGTCGTAAGTTGAAGGCACTTGGAAGGGTAAATTTGTGGTTGCGTAAGGAGTAAGTGGGGCTGACTTTTGCCAGCTCAAAATATTAGTGCGGGGCAGTAGGTATTCGTGAGAAGGACAGCCAAGAAACAGGGGTGGGGGATGTAGCATCGTCTATTACTGTGTGGGGAAGGGGTGAGTGATTAACAACGAGGCAGAGACGACATAATCCAAGCCTAGCTACTAGAAGTTTGACTTATGGGAGCATGTGTGCTGATCATCGCCAGTCTAAATGGTGAGTATAATCAGAATGTCGGAGTAATTATTACTGGTCGGAAGTTGGTGTTACCTCCCAGTGCCGGACCTAGCCTTTCCTAGTAGTGCTAGCTTTAGAGGAATGAGGAAATATAGGATATTTTAACCATATAGGTATGGTGCCTTGTGTGGTGTTGAAAAATTCGTGTTGCGAGGGAACGGGCCAAATAAACACAGCGTATAACATCTTCTGGCGAGAAAAGATCGGAGGAGATGATTTACCTTACGCACAAAGAGGTAGTAACACACAACGAAAAAAATACTGGGTCGGTTGCTTATGGTGGATAAGGTTAGGCTTTTCTGAAAAGACGAGCCGTTAGTAATAATCTTCGTTCTATGGGGTTGTTTATGGAGTATCGAGAAAAAGGCTACTACTATAAGGTTGCGAGCATACGTGTGCACGGATATTAGTAAAGTACATCATCAGAAAAGACCAGGGCGGGAGACACTCGTGTTATAGACGTCGGAGGACCGCAAAGCAATCTCATATGAAGTAACTGCTAACGGATTTTTATTTTTCCAGTTACAATAACTATTTGCCTTGAGGCCGAGGCTAATCCCCCTAAAAAATAGATTCTCAATCGAAGGAAAGTTTAGTCATACAGGCGTGTATACGAGGGCAGGTGTGGTTGCCTTATGGTTTGGGTCCGGTGAGTATTTAAGTATTCTTTGAGAACTAATATTCAGATGAGAGGGTAATCGTGTAGCATTACCCGAAGAAGACGGGGTGTGAAGACAAAACACATCTTTCAGTTAGTATAGACGAGGAGAATTGCCAATCAATAATATGCAATACATGCTAGTTTGTTGAATGATCACTGTACATCCAAGCAACGAAAATAGATGTTTGAATCGTAGATGTAGGTGGGCACGTCAGTCCTGGAGTCAAGTGTTCACATATGTACCAACTTATGGTGTTAAACAGATGTATCAATCAAGCATGATGAGTTTTTTTGCCTTTATGCGGAGATTAGTCGTGCCGTGGCCATGATAAATAATTAACCGAAGCATTACGTGAGCGCGTGGAAGGGGGTAAGAGAAGCTATTGCGGATGATAAGCATGTTAAGGTTGCAGTTAGCACGAATGACGATATTTTAAACTGTTGGAAAAAGTACAGTGGAATTAGCAACATAATATCTGCTATATGTAAGCTGGAAAGGCGTATAGTGGGGCGAAAGTCGTGGGGCATGTTCGAATCAGCGAATGACTTAGGTAATAAGGATCCCGAGGTGTAGCACGTAAGCGTATCTGGCAAGAGTATTATATAGTGTATTTACTTTTATAGCCAACAGTATTATATCAGATTATCATATGGGGATGTGTGTGGTCATATTTTTGCGGTTGGGGTAGGGGGGAGGGGGGAGGGGGGAGGGGGGAGGGAGGGTTAGGTACGCGTGGCTACTTTCGCTAGAGGGGCAGGTGAGGAGGATTATTATAATGGGTACGGCCGGGGTACTTTAGCCGGTTTAAGTTTTTATCCTAGAATGTAGAGGTGGGGGCGAGGGGGAGGGGGATGAGGGGGAGGGGGCGAAGCGGGTAGGAGTTAGCCAGGAGAAAATGTAGTTGAGATATTATGTTGTGGCTGCATGTATTACAGATCTAATTAGCATGTGTATTGTGTCTATTATGTATCCACTAGGTGTTATGAATTAGTTATATGATGTGGTAGGAATAGATGGTGGTTCTATATATAAAAAAACCGGGGGGCTGTCGTTAGATATCGGGTGATTACTTGAATCATTAACAATCGTGCGCAACGTTCAGAGATACTCAGGAACCCATACAAAAAAGGAGAAGTTGTTATTTAGCATCATTCAAAAACCAAAACACTGCGGATAGTGCCGTCAACAGTATCCCGATCAGTCCATCCATTCATAAGCACAATTATATAATTCCTACCTATTATAGTGTTTTCTGTCAGTTTTTTTAGAAAAGCGGCGTATATCCTCGTCTCATAGTTAGATTTTATGTAAGTTGAGCTTCCGGGGAAAATATTGGACGTCGCTGGATGTAATATTGACTCATGATCGTTTTTTTGTTATCATTGATTACTAAAGCGCTGTCGCGTGTAACGGATCATGCGGGATAGTCTGTAGAGTAGGGTGAAGTAGTGTACACGAGAGAAACATTTAGTAGATGCATTCTCAAAACTCTTGTCCTAAAGAAGCAAAACGGGGAAGTGGGCTCGTCTTTCATGAGCGCCATGTGGCATGTGAGGTAGCGGGTGAGGGGAGGATGGGCGGCTAGGGGAGGGGGCATGCAAGGAGGAACGATATTATAGCGTATGTATGTACAAAATTACCTGTGCATATATTTGTTGTGTATGCGGTAGGTATTTTGTAAGTTAATGTTGTATCGAAAAAAATAAGAAGCAATGCAGTGTGTATATTATGTTTGGAAAACATAGGGGAGAGGGGGAAAAAAAGGTATGAAGGTATAAGCAGGATGTATCGTTGTATAAGGAAGGGGGGTTAGCATGAGCCATGTCCAACAGGTCAGCAGGGGAGTCTACCCCAAGCCTAGCGACTGGATCAACGATCCGGGTATGTATGTGGGGGGGTTTGTGTATGCAACGCGGCCATCCCACGTGGCGTGGGAAACCTGCGGTGGAGCTCACCAAGATCCCATTAGCAGTTAGCCTGCATGTATAATATGCAGAATGATCCGATAAACATCCAATATTATTAGTTAAGCAGGGAATGAAGGGGGGACAAAAAAAAGGGGGGCGATTTGTT